AAAAAAAAAAAAACACTGCAAAATAAAAAACCTGCCCCTCAAAAAGAGTCTAAAGAAAAGCTACTAGCTCCTGTTTCATCCTAACGTTTTGATCCCTATAAACTACAATGCCCCAGGGAGGTAATTCTTCAAGCAGCTTCAGGCATTTGTGCGTTGGGGGAAAAGTTCTGTCAGAGCCTTCGTGAAAAGTAGCTTTTAATGGGAATGGGGGCGTTTCACGTCCCTGGGGTGGAAAAATAAAGGGCAGACAAAACAAAGCCTTCCATTAGACTGGAATAACAGGAAGATAATCTGAGACCAAAGGAAACACAGGTGAGAATGCATTGAACTGTAAACAGAAGGATTGTCACAATATGTCCTTCCAGATGCTTCATTCATGGCTGTTGTTAGTGAAAGTCACCAACACCTAGCCCTCAAAGGCAGCGCTAGTTTGTTTTATGTATTGCTGTGTATCTGACACTTAAATGGGTTTTTAAACTAAACTAGCAGGTCCATGGGGAAAGATGGAAGGGCAATATAATATCACCCAACAGAGTGTAGAGCATGTAGGCGAGAAGGATGGCAAGAGTGACTGGTTTGTTTGGACTAGACCCACAACTCAGAGCTTGAACAAATGTTGGTTCCCTCTGGCATGGCATGTAGACTCTTGACTGGAGATGAAGATCAGAAGACTTCATGATGATTGGTATCAGGAAAGGCATTAAAACTCTCTGATCCTTGCCTGGCAGGAGAGAGATCATGCTCACAAACATGGGTTCTCCAGTGAGAGATTATTATATTGGTCTCCAGGTGTGCTGACCCCTGTGACTTCCCCAAATGTGGGAAACTCACCCCTCCTTTGCAGTGGTGGGGACTACACCCACTCCCAGCTTTGTGGGTCCTGGTCAGGTTGCTGCTGATAAATGACCTGAGATTCTGTTGGCCTGGAATTCTCTTTGCCTCTTAAAACAGAAAGGTAAGAGAAACCCAGACATAGAATAAGTGAGGAGCGAGGGAGAATGAAGCACAGTAGTAAGAGGCTCTAAACTGGTCTGCTCTCGCCTCTTTCTTCCCCTCAACCACTTTCTCGGCACAGCACTCAGTTTCTCTAGAAAATCAAGTGATGTCAACTTCTGCCCCAAAGCTTCCAACTGCCCCCTATTCCTCTAGAGTTAAAAAACAAAAACAAAAAAAATCAGCATATTATCATTGCTTATAACAGAAGTCTTCTACCTTTCTTTTGTCACTTAGTCCCCTAAAATAATTTTTAAACTATGCACACCATTGCATGCTCTTCAGTTGACATCTAACGTTTTTATTTTTATCTTAAGTGTAAGCACTTGGATAAGATGTACCTTTTGGTGAGTTGTAAATATCGATATTGAAAATAAAACAGTAATTAGAGCATCCATACGTATCCAGCAGAATCTACCGCAGCCACTCAAGACTTCCCATCAAATGCTCTAAACAAATACACGAAGGAGCTCTTCATAACAGGAGGAAACATCACATGGTTCCTTTTTCTCCACACACCCACATTTCCATTCCCACTTCAGGGTCTCATCTTAATGAAATTTATTTTAAGCTTGAAATCGGTGACTGGTTGCTCTGAAATACATCTCAGTAACAAAAATATGTGCATAAATAGAAATTATACTTTCTATTTCTCTCTTGTTACTTTATGTGTACAAAGAAATTTCTTCTGGATTCAGTTACATTTATAATTACTTTTAATATATAGTTTATTAAAACAAGTAGATATAAATTTGACAAAAAATTTAAGTAAGTCGTTATCAACAGATAGATATAAAACCAGATACAGGTTTTGTGGGTACTAATGTTCATAAATACAAAATTAGAAACAAGGCTCTGGAAGAGTCCGCTTTAAGTGAAGGACTCGAGCTTTAGCCGCAGTAGCTTCTCTGCCTCTGAATAGACAGGGCTGCTTTGGTGGCGTTGCTCTACTAGCCCGTGTGCGGTTATTTATTATGCATATTACGTATCGCTACAATAAGACAGGATTCAGCACCAACTTTATCCCTGTTCTCTTACCTAGTTTCACTTAAATGCTGAGAAAACTTGTTGCATAAATAAGTAGATGGGAACAGAGGGAGTTTTGTTACCGAAACATCCTTATTTTTTAAGTTCCCGTGGCATTTTATGCTAACAATCACATCATGAGCTGTCATCATTATTTTTAATGATCTATCAGCTGTCAGCTCCATTAGGATTCCTAATGTGTTAAAAGCAAAGAAGCAGAAACCATCCTAATTGCAAAAATCCACCTTAAATTCACTTGCTTGTGTATCCTCAGGGCTACTGTGTCATCCCTTTGTGTGGGCGCCTAGGGTCACTGTGCCACAGTAAGATAGGCATGGATGGATGGGAGAAGATGGTGACCAAAGGGAAGGTGTGCCCTGAGGCAGACCAATATTAGGAGAGCATGATAGGAGTTAAGACCTAGAAATGGATTGTATTTAAACTGTGTGCCTGTTTATCCCTTGGAAAGTCTTCAGAGACAGCCAGTACCTACGCTCGGTTTGAAGACTACTCGTCTACAAGCCCCGACACTACCTGCGGTCCCCTCTCCACACCTTTCTGTCCTTCATCCTCTGTTACTCTCAGCCTTGCTCTGGCCGCACTGGCCTCCTTGCTGTCCCTTCCATGCCCACAGCATCCTCTAACCTTAGGGCCTTTCCCCTGACTGCTCAAAAGTCACCTTTATAATGAGGCTTTCTTCAACCACCCTATTTTAAATTGCAGTCTTCACACACACAACACACACACACTCATTCCCTATCTTCTTTATTTTTCTCCATAGCACATATAGGTGCTCAATAAGTAGTTGTTAAATGAATTCATTTCTATGGCCTATAAGTTAGTGTGTCGGCACAAACCATGAAAGAGCTTCCCACGTTGTAAGACTGTGCTTGGGTCGGGAGAAGGGGATCTTCTGCTCCTAACGGCCTGCATTGCAGTGTGTCAGGAAGCAGTGTGGGAAGCGTATCGGATCTTTCTGGATCGCATCCCTGACACAGGGGAATACCAGGACTGGGTCAGAATCTGCCAGCAGGAGACTTTCTGCCTCTTTGACATCGGGAAAAATTTCAGCAACTCCCAGGAGCACCTGGATCTTCTTCAGCAGGTGAGCCTGAGCACTATGTTTGGAGCACTGTCCAAACAGCTCCCAGACCTCTAGCCCCTGCCCCGTTCTGACCTAGTTTCCACAACAAATGGATTGGTGGAAGAAATGCTTGGAAATATCTGATAAGGCCAACAGGAATCTAATCTTGCAAAATAACATTGTACATGAGGGTTGAAGTGAAGTTAAAGGGAAAAGGGAATGAAAATAGACTTTAGCTCTTCAGTTGACATTATCTCTTGGTAAAATTACTTTTCTATTTCTGCAGAGAATAAAACAGAGTAACTTCCCTGAGAGGTAAGTACCCAAAATAGAGTGCTGCGTGCTCTTGACTTTTGAAAGCTAACATAATGGAGTGAGACTCAGCTATTGTACCTTTATGATGTTATGTCAGCCACTGAGGTCTGCGTAGGTTATTCTGACACGACAGACAATTTATACTTCTACTGTGCTAAACATAAATGAATATATAAAAGGGAAGTGGTTAGACCTTATAGATTGGCATACATGTTTGCACTGTTATCAGATAAAAGTCTGTGATAAGTATCTAATGCGTATTTTCACTTATAAGGTAGAGAGCAATTAAAATAGTATGATTTTTTGAATTTATGATAAATTATTGGTTATATCAGGAAAATATTTAATGAAATCAACAAGCAACTTGAATTTTGAATTCTTGCTTGGCATTCTGTAAATTACTGAAGCATGAGCTATATCCTCAATAAGAAATAAATATCAAATAAGAAAATCAAAATGTAAAAAAAAAAAAAAAAAGGAAAGGAAAAGTACATTAGATAAAGTGGTTAAAGAGAGATGTCATTGCCAAATTGTAACCTCACCAATCACATACATTTTTAACATTTAGAAGCCTAAATCTGAAGATAATACTACAAAGAGAGACACAAACTTGGCTGTACAAATTACTGACAATTCTCTATAAGGCTTTTCACATTTGCCCCTTTATTTCTATCCCCTTTGCCAACAGTCTGGCCCAGGACCTTATTGATTTACACTGTGGAAAATGTCCAATCTGATCTCCCTAATAGATATTGCTGGCTGCAACTTCTTCCCCACCTTACTTTTCATAACTGCTGCAGGATTAATATGTCTGAAATGTTCCTTTTCTTACATGGAGCCCTGTTCAACGTCATTCAGAAGATTCTCACATCTTTTTGCCCCTCTAAGCATCCCCTCCCTGCACTTCCTCGCCCACTCTGCAGAAGTCTGACAGGGACTGAGTCCTGGCATTTCATGCCCTCTGACTTCTGGGAGGGGCCGGCCAGTGGGGAGCAGAATATCAGAAGGAGGGAAGAGAATGGCCTCTGTCACCCGAGCAAATCCCTCACCTTCCCTCACCACCAACCTGCAGTGTTTGAGGGCTGCCGGCCTCCTTCAGCGGCAGCCCGTCAGCGGTTCCTGTCAGGCAGCCCTCCCCTCAGAGCCTTCGCTGTCTCTGGCTTGTGTAACTGCTCCACCCTTTCACCCCTCCTGGCCAGTGTGCGTTTAGCACCCGCTGTTACCAGCCCTGGGCTTCTGCGCCCTCACGTGTGGGTGCTCTTAGACTCTTCCCACAACTTAGTAAGTAATCCCTCCACTAAACTGCTCAAATTTTGAGGGAGCCCGCTGCCTGCTGCCAGCACCTTCCCTGAGGCAGTTCTATCAAGGCCCTTCAGCCCCTGGCCTTTCCAGTTTTCCTTTCATTACCCATGATCCCACTGCTGCCACCATGCCCTTCCTCAGGGCACGCAGACCACACCCTCCTCATCCCAGGCATACCAAGCCTCAGACCAAGCCTTTTTATCTTGGCTGGAAGAACACTCCTTCCCCACTCCATCCCTCCAAATCCTACTCTCCTCCCCATGATGTCTTCACAGCCTATTTGAGTCTGCGTTATGTCTCCCTGCTTTGAATTATGTGTTCTATTTGTCACTTGCATTGTTATTTAACATCTCCTTGCTTTACCCTGCTTCCCTGTGAGAGTGTAAACACCTCCAGGGCAGGAACCGGTTTATATTTCCCTACCAACTGCTACAGAACTTAGCAAAGTCCTCATAGATTTATAATATATGAGTCCTAAATGTGTCTATTTTGTTACACTTTTATGAATTTTCAAAGTTACTGCCAGAAGAAAGAAGGTGACTTAGGAAAATATTAGTACTAGACAGAGTATTAACTTTGTTGACAAGACCCGGAGATATTGGCTCCTCTGATTTAAATATAGGATAATACTTGCTGACCCCTACATTTTACAAAAAGAAAATGCAAAAGAAAGCAGAGGCCATTCCTAAGGAAAGAATTCAACAGAATGTACCAAGGCTTGAGAGAAAAACATTAAAAATTACAGGAAACAATTATTCGAGCCAGAAAGAGAAAGAAATAGAATCATTCCATCTACTGCTGTGCCTGCCAGCATTGCAGGGAGAAAGAAGGAACAAGACACAAGCATTTTACATTGTCCAAGGTTGCCAAGTTGTTGTTTTTTAAAAAATAAAAAAAAGAAAAGGAAAGGAAAGGAAGAAACTCTTTTACTTCAAACCTTTCCAAGAAGACAAAACAGAAAAATGTCTCACTTGACTAGCCCATCAATCTGCCAGTTTCAGATGACTTTCAAGTAAAAGCCAGTGGAAGAACCCAGCAGCCTAGCTTCCCAGACTGTAGCTCCTCGTGATGGTCCAGATTGCCAGTGTGGTGGCAGAATCACCTACACAGAGCACTGTCCACTTGTAGTTAATGCAATAGCCAGCATCTTAATAACTACTCTTCTTGGTTATTTCCTTTTTTACAACAAGGTAAAGCAAGGATATCAAAATTATAACAGGAAGAAGGACACCTTACTATATACAAAGATCTATAAAATAAAAAAAGAAATTGTTTAAATTTACAAATGCTAAAATGTTGATATAACAACAGTTTACTATTACCTCCATAAAAACTATTAAACACATAGAATAATACCAGCAAAAGCAAATGAGAATAGCTAATTCCAAATTCCACTACAAAGTCTGAATTTAATTTAGCCTGTGTGAACCAATATAGTCATCCATGTTTACAACTGATATCCATTCTGATTGGTTAGAGCCCATGCCAGGCTAATTGATATATTCTGTACATTACTCTTATTAGCACTTTGGCAGAATCGAATGTGGTAGAAATACGTCCCTTTGGCTATGGCCAATTATATGAATCTACAACAGAGCACCTAGCCATTCCCTTTGATCTTCCATCATCATGAGTCACAGAAAATTGGATCAAATATATTAGCCTACCATGACTATATTATACAAACACAGACACAAACCTTTGAGACCTAATAGTTTATAGTAACAAATCTTATAGTGAGCTTCAAAAGCTCTCACTACTACTATTCATTTCTAAATAAAGCTTGCTAGAATGGGCCAACGTTATATGCAGATAACTGTATAACCATAACCTTGGATCTGCCGTTAGAATATATTCCACATTGCCACTCCATGGCACTGTGAAGCTACCCACAATTTCCTGCTGGTTACCACTGCAAGCAATGGTTATGTTCAGAATAGAGATTTAATACACCTGCATCATCCAGAAATCTCTCCCTCTCCCATTACTGTAACCACAAGTTACTTTATTGGATAAACTTAATGACTCTCTGGATTTGCAGGTTTGAGGGTCTGAGATTTTAGCAAGAGTATTCGGTCATGGGTGAGGTCATCAATTATCTTTGATGTCAAAGGCACAGTTAAAGCACAAGGGACTATAAAACATCAGGCACCCAAGTCATCTTTGCTACTAGGGAAAAGTTCCCAGGAACACAAAAAGCCAACATGCTTATGAAAAACCCTGGAGTCAAACATAATTGTTTTGGGGGGTTGTTTAAATTTTTTCTTCAATGAAAATATATTAGAAGATTACTTCTGAAATGAAAAAATAGGTAATCCAGTTTTAGAGTATACTTTTTCTCTAAATTTTAAGTTTATTTAATATAGGTGAATTTAAATGCATCTCCCCTATTGTCGTAGAGCTCCTTTTCACTTTTTTCTTTTCTATTTTGCTAATAGAAAAGATGAAATATCCACAGAGGAGATATTAGGAGAGCCTGGTGAAATCCCTGTGTTTTCAACAGGTAAGCTTAGATCTCATTTCATCTGCTTCTGAGACTTAATGGAAAGCACGTTATTTAAAAAGCAATCCTTAATTGAAGTTGACAAACTTGATAACGTACTTTTCTCAAAACTAACTTCTATTCCTAACCTTATAAAATAATTTAAATTTATTGTATAAAACTTGGAAAATCTAGAACAGAATAAAAGTAAAAACAAATTGTGCATTATCCTACAACTTGGAGGCAATCATTACCAATATTTTCAAATTCAGGAAAAATAACTGTCTATGCATCCTTTATACAGTCATCAAAAGAAAGATTAACCAGATCTCATTAGGCAAAACCATTTATTGTAAGAAACATGAGTTTTAAAAGGAAGAATGAAGAATTCATTTGGGAGCAACAGTATTAGGTATATTTTGCTTAAGAACATATTTATGTGCTCTTAAAATAAAAATGAGCTCAGAATGCATCTAACATCTTTACATCCCAGAATGACAGAAAAAGCGTGTGAGATTTTGACCTTGTTCTAATGTAAACTCTTGTAGTCTCATTTTTGTGCCTATTATTTTTTTAAATTTCCACAGACGTTGCTGATGTCTCACTCAGGCCCTTCCCTCTCACTCCTGAGGACACACTCCTCAATGACACCAAGATGCCTACAAGAGTAAGAACTTCTGAGAATCAGTCCAGTTCCTGGCATAGCTTTTTTGTTTTATTGGTAAAGTAGAACAAGAGAATAGATGGACTGCCCGTTCAATATTATTAGTGCTGCATTTTTATCACTCTAATGAAGAGTCAGTGACTCGGGTCTATTCAGTACTCTCACTTCTTCCTAGGGGCTGAGAGGTAAAACAGATTGAAAACTAGGGATAAGGTGGGAGGAAGTGCAAGGCACAACTCCAGGAAGGTCGGGGCTCTTTTCCCTGGTACCTAACAGAGCATTATATACACAGGTGCTCACCAAGCTTTAGAATGAATGAATGAATGAATGAATGAATGAATGAATGAATGAATGAATGAATGCATCTATCAACCAGTCAGGTTCTTTCTCCACTGAAGTGTAACCTCATGCTGACAACAAGGCTAGAAGTTTTGTTCTCAGTCGTGTCCAGCATGACTAGGTCAGATAAATATCAAAATGATAGAAATCATGCATGTCATATGGGGAAAAACAAAAGTGTTTGCAGGTAAAGAGGAGCACTGGCAGCCTCTCTGAGTGCAAAGGCATGCAGGATGAGAGAACTGTTACAGAATTTACTGTGGGTTATCAAAAAAAGAGGGACCTCTTTAACCCTCCAAAAAGCTTTGAGGCCGATGCTCGGGGCCGAAGCAGGAAAGAGCTTCCCTACCTGAGGGTGGTGGAGTTGCGGCAGCGCGAGGTGGGTGGGTAGCAGGTCCTCTCTTCCTTCCCTGACGCTGCAACCAGATCTACCCTTCCCTGTGGCTTGCGAGCCTTCTCTAGCCCTTTCTCCTTCCAGATGGCGAGGACAGGAAGTTCAGTCTCACCAGCTCCACCTGAAAACTCAGGGTGGAGAACCCTGCCGGCCACTCTCTCCCTGGCCTTTAGGCCAGATGGCCGCAGATTTGGTGGGACTATGGTTAGGAACAAAGAATGAAAAGATTTTATTTTTCTCAAAAATACTGTTCCATCAACAGTGAAAAGTGCTATTGAAAAAATTATTGAGATTAAACACATTCACTATAAAATTTCTAAGACAACTGCCATTTGTCTTCTTTTTTCTCACATTACCTGTATCCCATCTTCTTCAAAATTTAATATAAGTCCCTCATTCTGCAGTAAATATCTCCTGACTATTTTATTTCATACTCACCACATCCTCCTCTTAACATCCTTTTTACCAACTGCATCTATTACTTATTCTTTCATTCAGCAAACATTTAACTAAAATTCACTACAAGATCTTAGATGAACAAGACACAGTCCCTACCTTTAAGAAATTTACAATGCAAATCAGTACAACAAAAATAGTCTAAGTTCCATGATTGAAGATGGCAGATGTATGGACTGGGACAAATGATAGGCAGGTTCAGGTTGCAAAGAACATAACCCTGAGTCATGTATATTTACTGAGAGTTTTGCACGTAAATGGCCTCATGTTTATTTATTTGGGAGAGTCCAAGAAGTGTGAGAATCATGCAGGATTCAAGATTATATGTGGGTGACAAGATTAGCATATAAAAAGAAGACTCTAGGTGAATATATCATAGGTACCAAATGAGTAATTTAGATGTTATTCACTGTTACAGGAGGCCAGAAGAGAGGCAAAGCTTTCTACCCTAGATTGTCAGAGGAGATATTTTTTTTAATGGACCATGAGATATAGGTAAAAAGTAAAAAAGGATGTGTATATGAAGTAAAAAGGGTATGTGTGTGTGTGTGTGCGTGTTGCTGGAGGGGTGTGGGGAACAGGGAGGAGGGTCTTCAGTCAGGAGACTAGCACAGCAATGTGGTGCCTCAGCAACAGCAAATAGAGCTGTGTGCTGGTCACGGCAGGGAGAAGTGAGACAGGCCAAAGCTGTTCAAGCAGACTGGCATCAAACAGTGGAGAGTCTTGAATGTCAAGAGAAAGAGTTTGGGTTTTATCCCACAGGTAGTTAGGGAGTCACTGAGGGTGCCGGGTGAGAGGCATAAAAAATTAATCCAGTGGTTGAGGGTAAGTTATTCTCACTAACTCATCTAAAGAATTTATTTAAATGTCTCTTGCGAACTTTAAATCTGCCTAATGAAATGGTAAGCTTCTAGAGGATAATACCATATGCCATAATTTCTTTCAGTGTCCCTAGATCCTAGCACTGTGCTATGCCCACACAGATGCTCACTGTGTATCACTTGAAGTAAGTGAATGAATGAATGAATGAATGAATGAATGAATGAATGAATGAATGGGTGGGTGGATGGATGGATGGATGAATGGATGGACAGATGAAAACCTTCCATTAAACAAACATCAGTAGCCTGGTAAGTGTAAATCCACATCCTCCGTGTGTCCTATTAAAGTAAGAGGCTGTTCTACTGTTCACTGCCCAAGGAAGAGGGTGTTTGTGATAAGAAATGAAGAGAAATTACATCGACCACCACCCCAGATGAGTTTTGCCTCTCATGGCATTTTCCATTGGTCGTTCTCACCTCTCATCTTCCACAACTCTAATATCACTATAAGAGACAATATATTACCAGAGACAATTAACTTTCCACAGACATATTGTTTATTCTTTTGAGAAAGCTGTGCCAACCTCAGGATCATGTGAGTACTCAAGGTTGAAAAATCAGTCCAACCCCAAGTCTGAAACACAGCTCCAGTTTTACTCTGTGCCCTGGGAACCAAAGGACAAAAAAGACAATCCCTGGCCCTTTGTGATCAAAGGCCAAATCCACATCCTCAGATCAGCACTGCTATTCTCAGCCACGTTTCCAAAAGTGGCCCAAGTATGCCCTTTCCTCTAAGAGAAATTTCACACCATCTCTTGACTTGACAGTGCTTTCTAACTAGTTTCAATATGAAATTTAAGCACAAATAGTCTTATTAAGCCATCTAGGCTCTTTCCTAAAAAGGAGTATATTAAATAATAGCTCAGCATCCATAGGTTATTTTGTCCAATTCAATCCTCATCAAAGAGTATTTATAAAGTTACATAAGTATGTGGCACAATCTTAGTAATGTTCCAGCAATAGATGTAAATTATGCGTGTGTGTGTGTGTATGTGTGCGTGTGTGTGTGTATAAATGCTTTCAGGAAGAGCACAGTCATTAAGTGACAGTGTTCTCAGAGATTCTAAGTAGTTAATTCATTGGAGCTTTGGTGCTTTGCCTCTCAGTGAAATTCATAGGCCACTTCTAGTTAATAGGACTTTTATTCGGAAAACACTAGAGCCTTCATAATCCAATTCTTGAGATAAAATCAATATATACCATATAATATTGCCTTTTGCTTGTCGTTTATATTAATAGAAGATCTTTTTAACTTAGGAAAGAGAAATAGAATTCTCTGAGGCATCTGAGGGCCCACTGGAGCAGAAGGTGGAGCTGAGCATCTCTCTGGCAAACGAGCAGTTCAGGGAAGAGCTTGCTGACGCCCAGTCCCCATATTACCAGAAGCTAGCAGCAAAGTATCAACTTCAGGTGAGTGAACACACCCCATACAACCATAGCCCACATCTAGACTCAGAATCTTGGAGCCAATTGGAAATACTAAACCCTTTTATCTAATAGTTCCAACTTCTTGTGACCAGGCATTCATTTTTAACCATTAAAAAAAAAAAAATCAAAAACTGCAATGGGTCCCAAAATGTTAGGAAAAGTGGAACTCCAGGAAAGTTTTCCATTCCAGCTTTTCCATCTTAAAAGTCATTTACATTTAGATTTTCTTCATATAGTAATAAGTTTTAAATCTCATTTAGCCAAAAGCCACTAAGTAGATATTCTATACATCTAAAATGTCCATATGGGCACAAGCTAGGGAATATGCTGGGGTGAAATATGAATTTCTAATCCATAGTACTTTGTCTTACATAATACTTCCAGTTTTGCAATCTGATGCAGTTTAAACCCATGATATTTTTCATGGATGATACATGGAAGGCAGCTATGTTGTTCATATTATCCAGCACCAAACTAAGGAGCTGTCCCCAGATGTCTCTTCCATCTCAGACCATTATCCTATCTGCTTGTCCCTGACTGAATTAAAAGGCTCTTCATTCCCTGCAGAATAAATCCAAACTATATGCCAAGTGTGTCATCTATATGCCATGATAAGACCCTGCCTTTCTTCCAGCTTCATCGTAACACCACTTCCTTACCATTCCCCTCCTTTGCACTCCACTTCCCAACAAGACAAACTGCTTGCAAGTCTTTTCTCATGGTTCGTCTTTATAGGTCATGCCTCCTCCATCTGGAATACCCTTCCCTGAGATTTATTTTACAAAGGTCTTCAAAAATTCTTTCTACCCATTCTGGATTCAGTGCCTCGCCTCTGGGCTAACGCCTGGTGTCCACAGTTGTCATAACACTATTATTCTGTCTCGAGATTGTTTACATGTCTATAGCCTTTGTTGTCTCCATTTCTCCCTCCTTGCCCACCCACCAACCTCACTACCACCAGGCTATGAGCTTCTTCTTGAGGGCATCTTGAGGGCAGGAACTGTTTCTTTCATCTCTGTAGCCTCACCTCCTAATTCAGAGCTTGGGATGCAGTTGCTACTCAGTACTCGTTTGTAGAACTGCAACTGAAAATAGAAGCACCCCTGAGGTTGCATAGCTCGGAACTGCATTTACGGACAGCCCAAGCATCTTACTCAGCAAGGCCAGGGAACAAACAGCTCCTACCTCTCATACCTGGAGAGTTCAGTGCTTACCTCCTCTGAACTGGAGAAGAGGTAAGAGAAAACCATTTTAACATCCAACCTCTCTCTGCATCAGCATAGTCAGTAAAATGTAGACAATCATTTCCACAGACTTCAAAGAGAAGGCATCAGCATGGGGTATTTATGAACCAGAAAAGTACTTAGACATGGGTTATTAGATAGAATGCATTTTTTAAATAGTCTGTTATATTTTCTCTTTGTTCTTTCAAATATTCTCTTCAGCAAATCCTTAGCACAGGGTATCGTCAAAATTGGATAATTGGCCATAGACTATCTTCACTCACCTGTTGTTAATATTCTAAGCTCCTAAAACTACCTGATGTAGAATAACACAATTAAATTATAATTTTTAAAAAAATCTTAGTTGTAGTCTTGTTTCTGCCAAGAAATCACCATAATAATTTGGGGATCACTTCTCTGACCTTAGATTCCTCATTTATAAATTAAAAATACCTCAAAGTCCCCTTCCAAGTCTAAAACACTATGTAGAGGAATAATACCACTGTACTGTTCTTAATGTTTTATATGTATTGGCTCATTTCATTTTCACATAGTCCTATAAGTTAAGTAATATTACTTCTATTTTTTACAAATGAAGGTACTGAGGTATGAGGAGATCAACTAATATGCCCAACAAAGTCACACATATTGACTGGCAGGGCCAAGATTCAAGCCCGGGAAGCCTGGCACCAGAACTCCTGCTCTTAGCCACTATGCCAAAATTCCTATTTTTCCCAAATACACATATTTATGGGGAAAGGATTTTGTATCATTATCAAATAAACATGCCCCTTCTGGCCTCTGAAATATTTATTAGTCAAAGAAGAGTATGTCTGGCTTGGTCTTGTTGCAGAGACCTATCACATCAGGCCTGCTGGTTCCATTGCATGGTGTCTGGCTTCTCTAAGATGGACCCCCTCTGCCTCGAGCATCTGTTCCCCTCCTGGGCTCTTGAGTAGTCAGTCCAGACACCTCGAAGCCAACCAGCTCCACCACAGCCCTACGCTTGCACAGTCATTTGGACCTAATTGGGAATTAATGGCCAGTGCTTTGCAGTAATTTAATTTCCACAATAAACTTAATGAGCAATTTCATACAGATGTCAAAAGAAATGCTTAGTTGTTGTCTGAATGCTTTCTCTGTGCAAACATTCAGGACAACTCAACATAGCTGCCTTTTTATGGCCCCTTTAACGTACATTCCAGCAGAATCAGGGAGGCCCCTGTGCATTTAGTGTTATTAATAAGGTTAACTGGACACTTAATTAGCAATTTAGTGGTTAGTGCTCCATGATTGGAAGGTTCCCAGAAGATTATTTAGCAGAATTAACTGAAGGCCTTTGTCATCTCCTCCCTAGACGCCCTCTGCACCCTCCTAAGCAAAGCTGATTCTTCATCCATCACAGACAGGTTCATAAAGAGGACATAGGCACAAGCAATAAATCCCCTCCACTGGAGCCACTACCTGGAGCACCCCTGGACGGGAGGACAGCTCTCCCCAGCGACGCACCCCAGTGCCTGTGCTAATAGCTGCGGGCCTCTGTGGGAGCAGTCCTGTACTTGATTGATCGTTTTCACATATATAACAGCATCTCTGGTATCCTGGACAAGAAAGAGAGGCGAGCCAGGGTCTGGATCTTCTGCTCCAGAAACTGTAGCTCATTATTAAATGTTCAGTTTTAGGTGCTGTAACTGGAATGGCATGACAAATGCCTTGTGGCCCCAAAGCTATTTGTCACAGGAGACTACAGCTGACCTGAAACAGGGACACAGCTCTTTCTCACCTGCCCCATAATGAAGACCCCAGCTCTGCAGAACCTAATCTCCTACCTAGCTCATGGTGGGATAGGAGGGGAGGCACAGAAACTTATTCCCCAGGACCCCTGCTGCTGACCCCTATGGAGACCCTCATCCTGTCCTCCCCCACACTGAGTCTTTCTAAAACAACTGACTAAAGGTTTGCTCTGTCCCTGTCAAGCTCCATGCTGTGTGGCCACTGAGAAAATGAAAGAAAATGGGGTTAGTAATCCAGTAGGAGAGAGAGAGAATAGTAAATAAAACAATATCACTACCTCTCTGCTCACTGGGTGTCAAGTGCTTATTAGCTTATTATCAGCAACCTTATGATATAGGTGTCATTACCTCATTTTGGTTAAGGAGACCAAGATGCAGAGAAATTAAGTAATAAACTCAAGGTCATACAACTAGAAAGTAGCAAAACCAATATTTAAACTCAAGCTTATATATCTATCTCATTACCACCCAAAAGCTGAGTTATCTTTTTCACTGTGGTTACTATACACTCAGGGAACAAAAACAATTTTAAAATTGGTGCAAGAAAATACAATTTAGAAGATAAATCAGTCTGCTGAGAAGAAAAAAAAAAAATCCATGATACACTCTCAAACTGTAAGAGATTTGGGGATTATCTGTGCATCGCTGCTCTGTCCTTGGCATAGGTAATGTGGAGTTGGCAGTGACTTTAGATACAGTGACAATGCCGGGGCATGTTGATGAGCTTACAGAAAAGATGCACTCAGCGTGATTAAACAAAATGTGCTGAGCTCCTACTATGTGGATAACAATCTGCTAGGTACTAGGAAGGAGGAAGATAAAGATAAATAAATAAAATGTGATCCCTGAGCCCAAGGAGCACAATCTCTGTGAGGGGGACAACATGCACCTCACAGACTGTTTTATGGAACATACGGTGATAAGTTGTAGGGTGGTAGGGAGAAGAAATCATTGAACCTGACTTTGGGGCCCCACAAATACTTTTCAGTAGAGCAGATGTTTGAATCGGCTTTAAAAAATGGGCAGGGGGATGGAGTTTGGATAGTCAATGAGCAGAGGTAGAAGTTGCATCTTGGACTAAAAAGAAAAAATATATAGACGTCTGGAAGAAGTACATGCATTGCTGCTCTAGTCCTTGGCATGCTGTGTTCGGGGAGAGGCAGTGGTTGCTTTCAGGTGACTAGAGGATACAGTGTTAGCCAAGGGTGTAAACGGCAGGAAGTGCCAATGGCAAGGTCCTTGGAGAGTGGAGGGGGTAGACTGTGGAGGGCCTTAAATGCCACTCTACAGTACAGGACCTTAATGGGCAGTGCAGCCCATCAAGGGGCTTTCGGTGAAGAGCAGCCGATAAGGAATGATTAACTCCGAAAAATATTGTAGTCAGGGGGACATCTCCCCACTCTCCCCGCCCCCCAACTCATCCAATAAAACAGCTCTCTTCCTTTCCCTCCACAAACCCAGAAAACCATTTCAGCGCTACAGGAAGGGAGATGGGGAGGGTATGCTGGCCACGGGAACAGGAAGAATGTGACGGAAACAAAGGCATGCAGGACTCAAACGAGCCGGCGTGGCCACTGGGCGTGAGGGGCACAGAGGGAAGGCGTCTGGGGCGCTGTGCTCTCGGGCCCAAGGGGAAGGGTGTTTATAACCCTGGCTGAGAGAGAGCCCAGGAGGAACGGCAGATTCGGGGGAGGAGAGTGACTCTGGTTTGGGTGTATGTGATCAGTGGCAAATGTTGGGCTACCCGTGTGGAGAACTCAAGGCTGTGGCTCAGGTGATCAGGGAAGCCAGGGGAGAAAACGAGATCCTCCAGGAGAGGCAGAGGGAAGTGGGTGCAGGGAGGGAGGACAGGGCCCTGCTCACCTCTTCAGCCTCCCTCACTTTCACCCGCTTCCCTTGCCGTGCTCCCTGCTAAGTGCTCTCTTCCTCTTGGTTTCGCTTCCCTCCCAGGCCTCACGCAGGTAAGGTGGATGGCAGGTGGACGGCAGCCCGGTCCGCCGGCTGGGCCGTGTGTCCTGAGCCTAGCCCAGAGCCTGTAGCCGAGCTTGCTGAGTAAATGGGAGAG